TCAACAAACATTTATTGAGCACCTATTATGTGGCAGGAATAGTTATAGGCATTTGGGATACAGCAGTGGATAAAACCAGTAATACCCTACTCTCGCAGGGACGTTCTAACTGGGATGCAGCACACTTTGTGAACGCGATGTTAAAGAGCAGTGGCAAGAGTTAAGCCAGGCTCTGGCTGATTGGGCCTTACAGCTCTCAGGGCAGCACAAAGGGCTCCTGGTCCTGCCCTGCAGCCCCTGTACCTCTTGGCACCTTCAGCAGGGCCCCTACCACCTGCCTCTGACCACCCATGGTGTAGAGGGTGGGCCTGGGTTCTTCCTAGACTTGCCCAGGAATCAAGGAGGGGGTACTCTTACCAGAACCTAGGTCTCGTCCTACCTGCCAGGCCTGGGCCCCAAGCCCCACACAGGTAGACTAACCATATCTTCCCTATGCTGGGGGAGGGACCCTGCCCCACGCCTCAGGAAAAAGGCACTTGAAGCCACCCCCAGGGTGGGGTCAGCAGAGGTGATGGTGGTGGCATGCAGGGCACAGACATGAAGATGGGCTCTGTCCTGGCCTTCAGTAGTCAGCTCAGTAGTTAGGTGGGATGCAGCAGGAGGCAAGTAGCCAGGCCAAACCCTGGTGGTCAGTAGTGCTCCAACTTGAGGCTCCTATATAGGCAGCACGTGAAGACCATGCCAAAGACCTGCAGATGGTCAGGCAGGCATGAGACAGCACCTCAGGCTAGCAGCCCTCCCCCAGCTCCCCATAGTCGCCCTTATGCCCAAACCTGCACACAAGCAATGCCGATGCCCACGGCCCCGATGACCCTCAGGTGCTCCTGGATGAAGGTTTCCAGCTTGGTGATGCAGCCACCCTGTCAGAGTGGGGGGTGCTCAAGGTGAGCCCTGCCAGCTCCCCACAGACGTGTCCTAGGTGTGGCCCAACAACCGCACCACCCTGCACCAGGCCAGCCCCTTGCTCACAGTGACCCACCTCCACCTTGTAGATGTTGGAGGCGTGATCCCGCTGCCCACAGCCAGGTACCACCGTCTTGCAGCAGCTGTCAGGGACCACACGGCCACCAGCCTCACCTGAGCGGATCCACTCGCTGTCACGCCAGTCCTGGGAGTTGTTGCTGCCGCAGCAGTGAAACTACAGCAAGAAGAGCTGAGCTGGGGGGGGGGGGCTGCCAGGGACAGCCCCAAGGGCACAGGCACATCCCCTGCAGGCAACACCCACCTCCTGCTGCAGCTTATCCACAGCACTGGTCACACCCTCATGGCCTGGCTGGTGGTACTGCTTGGTCATGGTGTCCTTCAGGTTCTCCTTGAGTTCTGTGTTCAACTGAGGGAAGGAGTGTCAGTTAAGACCTCAACGGTAGAGAGCTGAGAGAGCCCAGGACAGGACAAAGGCCCCAGGGTGCAAGGGAAGCACTAAGGTCTCACAGCAGCTGGTTGGAGGAACATGGGGATCATGGGTAGAAGGGAATCTCCAGATACCTGGACACCTTGGGCACTGCAGGCAGGTCACCTGCCCCTGTGGCCACCCTTCCCTAAAAACCTAAACCCTGCCTCCAGGACCTAATGGCAAGTTGGTCAGTGCTGGAGTAGCAGGGGTAGAGATGACATGTCTCCCAAGGCCTATCCAAGCCCCTCTCACCTGCTGGTAGTAGACGTAGGCCAGGACACCAGCAATGATCTCCAGCAGAAAGATGAGGAGGAGCAGGATGAAGTACTGGGGGGCAGGGACCCAGTGAGGGGCTCAGCACCAGGCACCACAGAGCAGGGCACCTACCAGCTCCAAGCAGTAGGTGTGGGCCAGGCACCAGGCTCCCCAGCATTCCTGGTGGAGCTGGTGTCTCAGTCTAGCTGGGGGTGGGGGCTGTGGCCCCCTGCCAGCACAGCAGGGCCAGCCCACAGTGACACTAAACCATCAGGGACCCAGAGACGGTCCCAGGAGACTATAGAGAGGAGCCCCTGGCCAGGACCCTGTGCCCACCACCCCACAAGAATGCTGCCATGCCCCGCTGACCAGGCGCAGGAGGTTCCGCCGCTCCTTGAAGGTGGCACAGCAGCCCAGGACACCGGTCACCATGACGACAACACCAGCCACCACCAGGATGTAGGCAGTAGCCAGGTAGGTGCTTGAGGCCAGTAGGCTGATGTAGTCACTCTTGAGGGCCAGTGTCCAGATGCCCACTGCCATGACAGCCAGTCCAGCCAGCTGTAGGCATGTGCACCAGTCACCACACCTAGCCCAAGTCTGAGAGCCCCAGTTGAGCCCTAGGCCAGGGCTCAGGTGCCTTCAAGGCCCAGGGAGTGCTGGGTGGGCAGCACGGCACCCAACTCACCCAGAAGCAGCAGTTGTAGGTGAACAGCAGGTACTTGAGGCAGACAGTGCCACATGTCGCCTTCTTCTCATTGAATTCACCCATCTTGGGGCTGGGGAGGTGTGAAGGGGTCAGAGGGCCTGCAGCATCAGGCCCTGACTAGGAGAGTGGCCACAAGCCAGTGGGGATGAGGGAGAAGGCACTGAGAGGCACAGGCCCAGCTGAGGCTGATCCAGCCACCTGTCCTGGGAGGCCTGGGGAGGAGCCTCCCTGGCAACCAGGGCATGAATCACTTCCTGGATCACAGCTCAGGAGACTTGACCCCCAAGCAGCCAGGCAGACCCCATGGGCGGCAGAGAAACCCAGCCCATCACTCACTGACTCACCCCTGCTGGCAGCCAGGGGAGGAGGCCCCAGCTGACCCCTCCCCCAGCATTCCCGGGCTCCACGTCACAGACTGACTGGCAGGAACCTCACACTTAGAGATAAGTCCCCAGAGGCAGTCAAGGATCCGGGAGCTCAGCCCTGACAGAGGTGCTCTGCACAGCCTCTGCTCCCACCAGGATAGGGAGAATGAAGGAACAGAGAAGTGGCCATGTTCCTCCCAGGCACACCTGCCCTGCTCACACCAGTATCTGCACAGGGAGAGCCTGGGGTTTAGACAGCAGCTGGGCACCACTGCCAAATTTCCAGACACTACCTGCACTCTCTGCCCCGCCCAGCACTCACCAGGCTGTCTGGGAATGACTCCTCTATAGGACAGGTGTACAGAAGTTCCCCAGGACGCTGAGCTAGAGAGGAGCAGACCACAGGTCACAGGTCACGGGTTTGCCCTCACTGCAGGATCCTGCCCAGACTCTTCCTGGTGGCTCAGACAGTGAGTGGGTCAGATCTACTCCAGAGGCAGAGGGAGGAGATCAGGCCCAGTATTTTGGTCTGGGAAGGGGCGGGGTGGGATGTGAGGGCAGAGGACATTTCTGGGCAGTCTGGTCCTGAGAGGAACTTCAGGTCTCCAGGTGCCCCACCCTGGGCCTGAGCTCCATACCGGTCACTGCCCCTCCCCCACCAGGCAGCAGCAGCTGCGGACGGAGGGAGCCACCGATCTCCGCCCCTGGATTTGGGGAGGTGTCAACAGACTTCCACCTCTGAGCTGTGGGACGGTGACACAAAGCACCACTGAGCTGGGGCCCAAACACAGGCTCTGTCCCTGGAGAGTGGTGTAAACAACCCCAGCAGCCGCGCCAGCCCGGGGCCGGGCTCTGGGGACCCTGCTTCCTGGGGCGGCTGATTCTGGGCAGACGCCGCCCGCGCCCGCACCGGCAGAGGGCAGCGGCCCCTCTTCCCAGGAGTGCCCTGTGGAACCTCCTGAGAAAGGGCGGAAACAGTTCCTGCGGCCGGCCAGGGCGGCTCTAAGCCGGCCCTCGAGTCCCGCCACCCTCGGGGAGCGGGGACTCGGCCCGAGCCGACCGGGAGGAATCCCCGCGTCGCGGCGACGAGGTCGCGCCGTCCACGCCCCCAGCCCAGGCGCGACCACGGGCCCGCCCACTTGCGCCGGGCGGTGGGCGAGCCGAGGGGAGGCGACCGCGGTCCAGGGACCACGAGTGGGGCGTTCGGGCTGCACCTTTTGGGTCCTGGCACCCGGGGCCTGCCGTGCCCGTCCGAGAACCCCGGAGGCGCCCTGCCCGCCCGGCGCACGCCAGCGACCTCCCTCCGGAAGGGGCCTGGGAACCGGCTGCGTCGGTGTCCGGCGGACGCGGCCCCCCGGGCGCCAGCGGCGGCCTCCGGCACAGAAGCACGAAGGACCTGGGGCGCCCTGGGCCCCGCTCCGGCGGGCCGGCTCGGCCGCACACTCACCGACCACGCGACGGAGTCCGGGCCCGGGCGGTGGCTGCGGGGGCGGCGGCTCCCCGTGCGGAGAATGCGCGGCCGCAGGCCGGCCAGGCCCCGCCCCGCCTGCGGCCAGGCCCCGCCCCGCCTGCGGCCACGCCCACAGCCGGCCGACGCCGGGCGGGTCCGGACGCGATTCGGCGGGCGGGAGGCGGCGGTGCTGACCGGGCGTCGGGGGCGGGCCCGGTGAGCCGCGGCTCCGGGACACCCAGGGCCTTGTCAAGCCCGACCCCCCCGGAGAGAGGAGCTGGGCGAGGGGCGGGAGGTGGGGGCGGCCCGCCAGACTCCCCCCTGGAGGAGGACCCGAGTCCCCAGGCCCAGCCCCCATTTCTCTCTGTTTTACAGATGCTGGCCCAGGCTGGAGGTTCTAGCGGAGTGGGCCCATGACCTGGCAGACCAGCTGGCTGGTGGGAAGCCACTCAGCTCCCTGGTGAGAAGGGGGCTGCTCAGGGCTGGGGATGTGGCTCCAGCGGTAGCGCGCTCTCCTGGCATGCGTGCGGCCCAGGTTCGACCCTCAGCACCACATACCAACAAAGATGTTGTGTCCGCCGAAAACTAAGAAATATTAAAATTCTCTCTCTCTCTCGAAAAGAAAAGGGGCTTGAAGCATGGCCAAGGACACATTCAAGCACCCGGGGACCCACAGCCCCAAAAGAGCAGGGTCTGTGTGTACCTCTCACATGTCATGGTGTGCCAAGGACGCCTCATTGTAAAGCACACATATGCTGCATCTCCCAGACACAGAAAACCAAGAAGAACACACGCAGTGGACGTTATAGGAGTTTTTGTTTTGTTTGTTTTTCCCTTGCTGGGAACAGGATAAGTATTGGCAAGGGCACACCTGGCAGGGGCACATGAGTCCCTTGAGACCTTTACCACCCACAGGTTAGTTCCTGCATGTCTTTGTGGGCTAGAGCCCACACCCTGTATGGTAGGTCTCCGCCCAGGACAAGTAGCCTTCAAGGGGCAGCTCCTCCAGGTAATGCCCAAGGGAGTCACTTAGAGCTGGTTATCGGGCACTGGGAAGGTGGCCAGACCCACGTCTGGGGGGCCTAGCCCAGCTGCAACAGCAGCAGCAGGTGGGCCCAGGCAAGCGGGCTGTGGCCAGAGCCTTCTTGTGGCTGCTTCTGAGCAGCCTGGCCTCACAGGTCTGTCTCTCATCTCGTAGGTCTCGAAGCCGTGCATTCAGCTCCCTAGAGAAGGAGAAGTGGGAGAGCTGAGAACCCTAAGCAATCTAAGATCTTAAGGAGGGAGCAACCCAAGGTGGGAAGGTGGGTTCTGGCTCCCCTCAAACCAGAAGAGAGGTGCCTGGTGGGACGTAGGGATGCTGGAGGGAGGGAGAGTAGACATGAGGAGGGACTCCTCCCAGTGGGATGAGGTGGAGGCCAAGAATATTTGGGAGCTTGGATACCCCTCCGAAGCTCTGTTGAGCCCTTTTCCTACCACTGGCCTAGGCCCGACTGCACCTGAGCAGCTCTAGTTGCCGTAGGAGGCTGAGTTTCTCTTTCTGCATGTTCCTGGAGACTGCAACCACGTCTCTGTGGGTAGGAAATGGTGACCCATGCAGGCAGGGCCCTCCCAGAAGTCCCTCCCTCCACCCCTACTCCCCAGACCCTGGGGGCAGCACTAGATCTTGGCATGGGGATATAAGTGGCCCAACCTGAGCCTAGCAAGCCAAGGCCCCAAACAACCAGCCCTGTACCGTTGTGTTTGCTCCTGGCGGCCCCGAGCATCACCCTCCAGTCTGTGCAGCTGCTCCTGCACCCCCTCCAGCTGTGCATGCAGTGCCTCACAAGCCTGCCGCAGCTGAGTGTTCTGGGCCTGCGCCTCCAGCTGCTCTGCAGCCCGGGCCTGTAGCTGCCGTTCCAGCTGGGGAAATGGTGTGGGCTGGTGAAGGCCCCCAGATCCCTCACTTGCCCCTCACCCCCAACATCTCTAGGGTTGGCAGCACTGAGACACAAGAGCACCCTTGAGGGAACTGGGACTGCAGGGGAGACTGTGGGATGGGGCTTGATTTGGGGTCCAACTACTTACCTCCAGCTGCCGCAAGCCAGCACTCTCCAGCTCCTGCTCGCGGCTCTGCAGCTCCAGCTCCAGATGCCCCCTTCGCTCCTCCAGGGGTAGGTTCTGGAACACACCGGGGCATCTCAGCCTTCTCTGGCCTCGAAGAAGAGGCACCGGAGGGGTGGGATGGGGTCAGGGTGGGCCATGGAAGGGTGAAGACTGGTGGGGCCGCTGGAGAGGAGAAACAGGGCACCCTGCGCTGGGGCAGCCTGTGGCCGCAGTTGGGGAACCCTCGGGGAGGGACCAGTTTGAGGAAGGCGGAGCCAGGGAGGCTAGCTAGGCTGAGAGGACGCCACACCTGGCTCTGCCTGCCGCGCTGCCGCTGCTCCCGGAGTTGCTGCTCCAGCTCCTCATAGAGGCCACGCACTTCCCTCTCATGCTCGCTTTCCCGCCTTTGGAGCCCAGGATGAGACAGCCTTGAGAACGTGCCGGCCCTGCCTCTACCCCTGAACTGGGGCCCCAGAACCGCATCGGCCCCACTCTCACCGCCTCAGTGCCTGCTCCAGGCCCTCGCGCTCCCTGGCTGCCTCTTCTAGGCAGGCCGACGCTCGCATCAGAACTTCCTCGAAAGAACCCAGCAGCTCTGGTCTCTCGCGCTGCAGCTGGGCCCACAGTGCCCTCACAGCCGGCTGCCTGAATCAGGCAAGTGCAGACTGAGGCCCAGGCTGGTGCGCGAGGGCAGGTAGCTCCCCTCTGCCTACCAGGTGATCCCTGGAGACCCCCGCAACCCAGGAGTTTGACCCATGCAACGCATTCCATTCAGGTGTGAGTGCTCTCCTCCTGCCCTGGTTCTGTGGCTGGGTACCATGAAGTGTCCCTGTATGTGGACAGCCCAGCATGTGGGTAGCCACATGCCCAGTGCCTCCCCTCCCAGAAGCTGAGACTGCTTTGTCCTGGAATGCAAATTCTGCGGGAAATCACGCCTGGCCGGTGGTCACCGTGGACAGAGCATGCAGCCGGAGAGAGTAGAAGCAGGAACCCGTAGCAAAGCTAGCATCCACTCACTTGCCCAAGACCCGGGCCACTCCCAGCTGCTCCAGTGCAGTGCAAAATTGCTCCTGCTCCTCCTCCTCCAGGGAACCCCTGGTGCCCTGCACATCTGACCAGCCCGATTCAAAGGTTTCCTCAGTAGTCCGGGAGCGTTGCATGCCCTGAGCCAACTCCACCCCCACAAACTTCCCTGCAGACATGGGAGGGAGAGATTACGGGACTGTGGGTTACCACCCTGGCCCTCCCCTGCTCACCCCCACCCCCAGCCATATCCTGCCCTCTCTCAGGGCCCAGTTTCCTGTTTTTCTTCCTTATTCTAGTCCTGTTGGCCTGGGAATGGGAGGTGACAGCCAGGCTCCCAGCTCCACCTGGGTTTGGCAGGAGACAGAAAGGGGTTGTGAGCAGAAAGATCAGTGTCATATACTACTATCTGGGGGGTGGAGGTCCCAGGCACTTGAGTGTAGATACAGTGAGTGCCCTGGATCTACAGGGAGTGCACTGGATCTACAGGGAGTGTGGATACAGCCCAGAGTCCCACAATGAGCCAGACCAGGACCTCTGGGTGCTGGGGGAGGGTAAGGCCCAGCTCACCCAAGCCTAAGCTAAACTCCCGGGCAGTGAGGAAGCCAGTGTGGGCCTGGTCCAGACTTTCAAACACAGCCTCCAGCTGCTCAGGTGTGAGGAGTAGGTCACTCTGCAGGCTCTGGCAGAGAAAGGGCAGGGTGAGTGACCAAGGTCAGGTCAGCCCTGGGCCCAGAGGCTTCTTGTGACTGGTGCTCACCTGCAGGTCCTGCCGGGTGATGAAGCCTTTGGCTTCCTTGTCACATAACAAGAAGAGCTCCTGGGCCTGCTGCAGCATGGCAGCCTGCTGTCCAGTGGAAGCCCCCTCCTCCTCCTCCTCCTCCTGGGATTCCCCAGCCCCTGGCTTGCCAGTAGCCATGAAAACAGGAACCTTGCCTCTGTTGGGTGCTGAGAAACCAAGAGAGAGAAGACATGGGGGGACATGGAGTGGGCCACACGTGCCCTGAGGGCTCTGCCAGAGAGGGAGCCTAGGGCACCCAGGGAGGACTGGTGTTTGTAAGGGAGGCTGCAAGCCTGGGGTGCCCCTGGGTGGAGTGATGCAGACCTGGGGACGAAGCAGGCTGCACAGAACCAGGTATTCCTTGGAACACAAGGAAAGGCTATGCCCAGAGGGAACTAGTTTGAGAGGAAAGAGGTTCAGTTCCAGGGGCTAGCTGTAGGGGACCTTATGAGGAGGCCTATGAACTCCTGACAGCCAGAGGAGAAAGAGGTCCAGTGAAGGAGGAGCCCACTTCATGCTGGAGTTGGAAGACTGGGCCAATCCTAGCTAAATCCTTGGCCCCAGACCTGGCCTGTGATGCCCTGGCCTCCTGACAGCTGGCAGGCCAGGTAACTCCTCCCTGCCTGCCCACTGGTCCCTCCCATGGATGACCAGTTCCCATGGGGCACAATGGTAAGCTCCCAGCCTTGGGCACCTGTGCCTCCACAGCCCGAATCAGCAACATCCCTCCTACAGCGCTAGTACCCTTCCCGTGCCCTCCAAGTCTGGGAACCTCTTGGGGCCTCCCTTCCACCTCCCAGAGAGCTCCACCCCTTAACCAGAGCCACCTGTCGTTTTCACAGCCTCCAACCCGGATTTCTCAAAGGTACAGCCGGGCCAGAGACACCTGCCCCGACCTGGGACTCTAGCTGGGGGTTAGTGTCTCCTCAGCCCAAGCCTGTCACCTTCGCCCCACCCCGGGCCAGTGTCCCTGAGAAGAGGGGCGATCTCCAAAGACAGCAGGTCGGAGGAAGCGCCAGGCGGGGGGGGGGGGGGGGGGGGGGGGGGGGGGGGGGGGGGGGGGGGTGGGGGGGGTGGGCAGGATCCGGGGTCATGTCCCCCAGGCAGCGCCAACGCCTCACCCGGCTCTTGGGCTGCACCGACCCGAGGTCCATCCCAGCCGGAAGCGGCGCTGTGGCCGGGCCTGGCCGGGCCAGAGGGAGGCAGGAGGTAGGGCCAGCGGGTGGGGTTGGAGAGCCGCCCGCACCCCTGGGGGCCGCGGGTCCCTGCGCCGCGCGCCAGGAGGGCCACGGACATCCCCCGACTGGGAGCGCGGGTCGGCGCCCGCCACGGCGGTCGTGAATTGAGACCCAGGGCAGAGCCGCGAGGGCGCGGCGGTGGGAGCCGGGTCGCGGGACCCGGGAGCGCCTACCTGGGAGCTGCGCCGCCGCACCTGCCGCGCGCGGGCCGCTCCTCCCGGAAACGCAGGGCGCGCCCCGCCCCTGCTGGGACCCCGATCGCGCCGGGGGCGCTGGCCTTGCAGCCTCGCACGACCGGAGACCCCAGGTGGGCCGGCCCGGGCGGAGCTGTCGCCGGCTGCTGTCGCTGTGTTCCCGCCTCTCCTGCTGCCCTGGCGGCCAGAGATCCTGGCAGCCTGAGCGGCTGTCCAGGGAGAACCACGGGGCACAGCTGGGGACCCTTCAGGAGCAGGGTCAAAGCTGCTGGAGTGCAGACACCAACCTTTCAACCCGAGGATCCAGACTTAAGACGCCAAAAAGTGTGTAGGAAAAAGCCGGCAGGAAGTGGACCAAATTCTTTCAGAGGCTATCTCTAATGCAGTCCCAATTTAGTTTTTTCAAATTTTAAAACAATGAACATATAATACTAGAAAATGACATTTAACGGAGCACTAAGCACCCTGTGAGGGGAGGGAATGTGGAGCAGAGAGGTCACATCAGCGGCCACCCACCCCCAGCACTCCTTTTGGGGCACAGCCCTGTCCAGGGTTCCCCTGGGGAAGAGCTGAGCACAGCGCTTCTGCCTGGAAGAAATCCTATGCACTTCCTAAGGGTCCTCCCTAGCCCCAGCCTGGACTCTGCACCTACCTGGAGGGCTGGCCTGATTGTCACACAATGCTGGGGGCCCTGTGGCCTCTGCTTCTCAAGTGGAACAACAGGCTGGGCCTATAGGACACTACCTGGAGACCAAGAGGGGGGTGGCCCCTGGCACACAGACCAGGGACCTGCCTGGCCGGCTCACCCAGTCCTGCTGCCCCAGGTCCCACCACCGTTATTGTTGGCTGGGGGCTGCCACCACAACTGACCCACGCCTACTGGGAGGGGCACTGAGCCTGGTAGAACGAGGCTCACAGTCAGCTAAGTCAGGTCTCCACTCCAACACCCTCTCTTCAGGGGCTTCTGTGCCCTAAACTGCTCCCTCTGGATAAGGAACAAAGCCACCTTCAGCTAGGACCTTACCGTGCCTCAGTATTCCAGGTCCCTCCTAGATACTGGCAGGAGACAGTGGGACGGAGACAAGAGGGACCATGCATCTGGCCAGCAAAGCTCGTGATGCCTGGGGGCCAGATGCCCAAGGTGGAGCAGGGGCCAACATTCCCAGGTCCCCGGCCCTCAGCTCCAGGAGCTTTACCTCCTGCAACAGCCCTGTTGTCACTCTGGAGCTGAAGGGCAGGTGACTCCTTTTGTAAACATCCCCCGCCCCCAGTGCATGGATGGAATCCAGGCTGTGGTGCATGCCAGGCCAGAGCTCTGCTATGAAGCTGTCCAACTCTATACATTTTAATTCAGCAAGGATCTTGGACCCAAATATGTCCTTTGGCCCTTGGAAAGCCATGCCAGGAGGTCTCAGGGCAAAGTGGGGGGCATATATAGGGATCCTCAACAAAGCGTAAGAGAAGGCCCCAGGCCCAGCTGGCAGGCCCCAAATGTCAGGTCCAACAGTGTGAGCCTGGAAGGCCAGACATCCTGTGTAGAGACACTGGTCAACTAGGTGGAAGCAGGCTCTGTCCACCATGGCCCCAAGCAAAAGAGGGCAAGGGAGGGGCTGGGGATGTGGCTCAAGAGGTAACGTGCTCTCCTGGCATGCATGGGGCGCTGGGTTCGATCCTCAGCACCATGTAAAAATAAAGATGTTGTGTCCACCGAAAACTGAAAAATAAATTTAAAAAAAAAAGTGGGCAAGGGAGTTACACAGAATGAAGAAGATTACACAGAAGTGAAGAAGGTAGATGCTGAGCTCTGGCATTTATTACTTCTGCTTTGGCAAAAATAAATAATTCTTCACACATATTCATGAGCAAAACAGGGGAAATGGGTGGGAGGAGCTGATGTGGGGTTCTCTGGAAGTCCTGCACTGAGAAGGGGCAGGCAAGGGTAGGGGATTAAGGCACAGGTGGAGTGGCCTCTGCAGCCCAAGAGAAGGGGCACTCCACACCCCTCCAAACTCAGTGCAGTGAGTGAGTAGTTGATGGAGGGGGATTCACAGCAAAGCCCCCTTTGTGGCCGTGAGGGGTTCTGTCTCCTTGCTGCACAGTAGACAACTAAGAGGCAAGGGATGGGTTCTCAGACAGTCCCGGAAACCTGAGCCCCATGGGCTGGGGAAGGCTGAGCACTCAGCAAGGAGGCAGGCCCGGTGGGTGCTGTGGGGGCATGGGGTCTGTGGGGGTGGGGCCGGCAGGGGTGCGCATGCGCAAGGCATCCGGAGGGAAGGCCACATTGGTGCAGAAGAGACCCAGCAGCAGCTGACGCTGGCACTCCTCCCACTTGGCCAGCGCATCCCCAAGTGAGAGGTTGTTGCGCACCCAGCTGGGCAGTGCCTCGCTGTAGGTGGCACAGGACAGTGGCACGGAGGGCAGTGACTGGGCACGGCGCAGCTCCATCTGCTCCGAGAGCCTGTAATGAAGGCATCAAAGGTAGGCAGGGCTCAGTGGGGGTCCCTCAACCCAAAGGCTCTGGGCCTGAGGACAGGGGTGGCTCACCTGGAGGGCAGGTGGCTGCCCAGCTTCCTCTTGGCACGCATCACCAGGTATTGGCAGATGCTGCCCGTCTGCTCCTTCATCCATCGGATGTCCTCTGGAACATCAGGCAGCCACTCCAGCAAGCTGGAGGGTCGGGGAAGGCACACCTTCAGCATCTGTGTCCAGGCCCTCCCAGCTTCCCCAGTGTAAGCATCCCTCCTGGGCGACCCCAGTTCCCCTCCCCCAGCCCTGGTTCCCTGCCCGCACCGAATGGTGAAGGACACAGCACTCTCCAGTGGCAGCGTGTAGGGCACCATCATAGCTGTGGCCAGACGCACTGGCAGCATGTTGGACAGAGTGGTCATCAGGTCCCTGGGCTCCACGCAGGCTTCCAGCAGGGCTGTGCAGGGGATGAGGGCAGCCAGTCAGGGAAGCAGAGCAGCCCAGTGTGCTGTGCCAGGCTTCCACACTGCCGACCCCTCCTGTTCCCTTCTCTCCCAGTGAGTACCCTCATTGAGCCGGGCAGGCAGGTGGTCTAGGATGTGATCTTCCCTGGGCGGCTGCAAGTGGTCCTCTGCTCCAGTCTTCTCTGTGACCACAGTAGCCTCCTGGGTGTCTTCCTCCTTTGGGTCACAGGGGCGGGTGGGAGGCAGTGCCAGCAAGGGGTTGGGCCTGTTCAGGAGGCCTGGGATGGAGGTGGGGGTGCAACAGAAAAGTGATCACCACAGTCATGGTCACTGCTGGCCTGCAGTGGGCAGCAGAGCTGGCTCCACCCATCCTACAGCTACCCACGCACCGTTCCTCCGCAGGAAGCGCAGACCATCCCTGTAGCCCTGTTTGCACATCTCTCGAAGTACCTGCAGCAGGGGTATAGGTGAACTGGAGCAGATGGAGCCAAGGGTGCCCTGTGCTGTCCTCCACAGAGTCTCTACGTCCCTACCACAGCACCTCCATTCCAACCTCCCGCCTCCACCAACCATCTCAGATCCAGCCCAGGGTCCCGGCTGGAGAAAGCACAGGCCACAGCCCCACAGAGCGGCTCACCATGGGTTCTGGAGGGAAGAGGGCCTTGGAGAGGCGGTACAGGTTGCGCAGGTTGAACTGGATGCTGGTGTTGGTGACCCGGAGCTCATGGATGTTGGTGGAGCTGTCCTGTGGGCAGATGTCACTCTCTCCCGAGAAGGGGGACACCGTGATGGTGTTCTTCAGCTCATAGAGTGGCAGGTTGTCTGAAATGCCGCCATCCACATAACGCTTCACAGGGACACAGACGCATGGTCACAAACTGAGGGACTCTCCAGGTGTGCTGGCTGCCCCACCCAGTGGCAATTTCTTTTGGCCTTTCACACTGGGCACTGTCCATGGGCTGGCTTGGGCACTGAGTAGATGGCCAGACAGTGAGGGGGCAGCCAGGAAGCATGCGTCCCCAGGGCTGGTCAACTTCTTAAGTAACAAGGGAAATGAGGCAATAGGTAGAGGCAGAGAGATGTTGGAGCGGATGGGGCTCTACAGTCCTCCCTCCTCCACCCCTTCGTCCCAAAGCCCAGACAGCACTAGGCTCTCCTCAGCCCCAAGGGGCGCCCATGACAAGGCCAGGTGGGCATACTCACCACCCCTTGGAGGGAGGGTGGAATGAGGCCACAGTACACGGGGATGAACGTGCTGCAGACGTTGGCCTGTAGGGCAGAACAGGAGGGGGTGAGCATCGCCTTGGGCCACCCTGCTCCCCACAATGTGGCCCCAGCAGGACCCACCTGGATGAGCTCGTCCTTGGAGTCGAAGTGGGTTATAATGACGTTCTCTCCATCTGAGACACGGGTCAGAGAGATGCCCAGGCGCCCACTGGCACGCTCATGGCTGTCAGCGGGCAGAGTCTTCAGCAGACAGCCACGGATGGTCTTCACCAGGTTGAAGGAGGGGTGCAGGGGACCCAGGAACCTCTTCCGGGCCTCCTTGGACACCTCAATGATGTTGGCACCTGCCTCGCCTGGGGCAGCAGGGCCCAGGTCAGAGCCAGCAACACCCCTGTGGCTCCATGCTCAGGGTTCCCCAGCACACACATTCAAAACATCACCATTGACCCTAGAGGACCCCCAGTGCCCAGACATGGACTGGCTCACAGCTGAGATTTTTTTTTTTTTTTTTTTTGTAGCTGTAGATGGACAGCGTGCCTTTATTTTATTTGCTTATTTTTTTGTATGCAATGCTAAGACTCGAACCCAGTGCTTCACATGTGCTAGGCAGGAGCTCTGCCATTGAGCCCCGGCCCCAAACACAGTTGAGACCTTTTTTGATTTTTATTTTTTAGTTTTAGGTGGACACAATATCATTTTTAATTTTTTATTTTTATGTGGTGCTAAGGATCAAACCCAGTGCCCCATGTATGATAGGTGCACCCTCCACCACTGAGCCACAGCCCCAGCCCCACAGTTAAGACTTTTAAAAGTATATATTTATTTATTTTTCCCAATACTGGGAATTAGACAAGCTGTGCTCTACCACTGAGCTACATCCCTAGCCCTTTTAGCTTTTTATTCTGCTATAGGGTCTCACTGAATTGTCAAGGCTGGCCTTGAACTTGCAATCCTCTTGCCTCAGCTTCCCACATTCCCAGACACTGTATTTGGCCACAGTTGAGACTTTTGCTATCTGTCTCTGGGTAGAGGCAGGCAGGCCAACACCTCAGAGATAGTGGACAGCAAGAGGTGGCCAGTTGGGGCTGGGACCTGCCCTCTGCCCAGCATTTCCCAACTGCCTGTCCCCATGAGTCATTGGACTGGCGTGGTGTGGCATGGCAGGCAACCAGGAGAGGGCAGAAGGCAGAGGTAACTCTGACTGGCCTTAGCCTTCACCTACTTGGCCAGATTGAAAAGGGAACCAGACCCACAGCTCAGCCCAGCCAGGGTCCCAGGCCTCAGGGCACAGGGCTGAAGGCAGTGTGCCTATCTGGGAGGACAAGATGTGTTCCACTGCAGCCACAAGCAAGCATGCCAACACTTCCCTTGAGAGCTGACCCAAGGAAATGCCAAAGAAGCCAGGGGAAAAGCCAAGGACTAGGCTCTCCTCCAGGATGTCTTTCTGGGCAGGAGTGGGACTTGTGTGCCAGGTGCTCTTAACAGGTACCTGCCAAACTGGGGGGGGGGGCTCTAGTGCCCAACACCATTTGTGAGGCTTGTTGGCAGAAGAGGCTCTGCTGCAAGGGTGTCAAGTAGGGTACAGTCCTGAGACCAGCAAGCAGTCTGTTCCAAGGCAGAGCACAATTCCAAGGACATGAATCTCAGGTCTTCTACCTTCCTTCTCAGGGCAAAGGTCACAGGCAGGGGACAGCGGAGACCCTAGATCAGCTCCTCGGGGGCATGGCGTCCTTGTCACCTTGGCTGCCCTAGCGGTCTGGGGGCTGGGCAGCAGTTCCCAGGATTGCTGGGAACGCTGTGTGCTGTAAACACCACTCTCACGTGGCAGCCCGGAAGTGAGAGAGGCCCAGCCCGGCTCACACAGACCCCTGCGCTTCTGACCAAGGGCTCCAGAGTCAGGAAGCACACCCACCTGTGAGATGGGCAAAACGACTGGCCACAGCTGAGAAGCCGGGCTGGCAGGGCTCTGCGGACCAGGAGAGGGCAGAGTCGCTGACCAGGTCCAGCCCTGATCAGGACTGGCCTCTTCCTCCAGGGGCTCTCAGAAAAGACCAGGTCACAGTGCCTAGAAGCCCCTCGGAAGCCACCTTCATACTAGGCACTCCCTGGTCCAAGGCAGCCTGAAACTGCCAAGACCCAGGACACGGTGACCGCTGGCACCAAGTAACCAGGGAGATTCAGACCCTCCTCCGACTCTCACGTCCCGCCCACGACTTTTCTTTCCAATAGACAGCAGTGCTGCACCTGCCCGCCCACAACCTTCACTCCCAGGAGGCGGGCCCGAGGCGCACAGCAGCCAGGCCCCACCCCAGTTCCTGGGCACCCTCCGAGCAAAACAAACCAGGTTCTGCCCCCAGACCAGCTCCCCGCACCGGACCCTTTGCCGTGGTCCCCGGCCCAGGCAGAAACCCCGCTCCACCGCACGCACTGCACTCGCCGCCCGGCCAGCTTCCCTCTGCGGGAGGGGGTGGGCGCAGTGCGCGACGAAGGGCATCCCGCCCGGCCCCTCCTCCTTCCCGCCGGACCCCGCGCGTTCCCCACCAGCTCCCTACCCTGGCCCCGCGCGGCCCCGCTCACCCAGGCAGGCCCCGGTGACCAGCGCCGTGGCCGTGAGCGCCCCGGCTGAGGCGCCGTAGATGTGCGTGGCGTTGGCCACCAGGAAGGGCGCGTGCTCGCGGAGGCAGGAGGCCACGCCGATGTGGTAGACGCCGAGGAAGCCGCAGCCCGCGAACGAGATGTTCCACTTGGCCTCCTTGGGGAACATCGCGGCTCCGGGATCCGCGGGCGGCCGCCGCGCTGTCGCTCGGGCTCCGGGTCTCCGCCGGCGAAGGCGGAGACGCTGCGCAGAGCCGCGGCGGAGGCGGCGTTTCAGTGCGGCCGGGGGCGGGGCCGGAGCTCACGGCCCAACCCGAGCGCGCGGGGAACGGCCGTGCCCCGAGGCTCCGCCCACCCGCCCCCGCCCGGCTGCTGGGCTCCCCGGCCGGCCGCGACACCTGCGCCGCGAAGCCAGCTGCGGGGCCCCCGGGAGCTACCGCGGCCCCACCGACCTCCCGCCCGCTGCCCCGCACCTCGGGCGGCGGCCGGGCACACGGCAGCCTAGTCGCGTGGGGCGGTCCAGCCCAGGCCCAGCGCTGGGCTCGCGAGCCTCGTACGGATCTGGATACCCGCGAGAGGAGCTCCGGTTTCTGCCGCCCCCTCCTCTGGGGTCCACGACCCTCCCGGACACAGAGGAGCTAGGCAGGGACGCACGACAGCAGCCACCGGGACCGAAAAACCTCGGCCTCGCAGGCCGCGGGCCCCAGGACCCGCCGACCCACCCACAGGCTGACCCATAAACATCCGATGCCGGACGCGAGCCCACAGACACATTCCACGCACCTCAGCCTCGTCCCCCTCCCGCCGCCCCTCTACCCTGGCCACTCACCTGGCTCGTACCTGGGTCTGAGCCTGAGTCCTCCCGCGGCGGGGTCCCCACGGGTCTAACTAGTGGCAGCCCCGCCCTCGCTAATTACCCTAGGGGGCGGAGCACCGGGTGACGTCACCCACCGTCCCCGCTCCCATTTCTTCCTCGGACTGTGGGGCCCGCCAGGCTGGCTGGCTTCCAGCATCAGCCTTCACCTCGCCTCACCCCAAGACTAGGGGCTGGTCTGGGTTGGGGTGGCGGCAGTGTGCGGGTCTTCCAGGGAACACTCACTCCCCAGGGGAGCTCGGCTCTGGACACAGCTGGAGCCAGAGCCGCGGAGGGTTGGGGCTTGGGGCCCTCAGGTTCGTGCTCTCCGGTCCTCAGCCCCCGTGCTTGCTGCCGTCCCGTACTCAGGAGCTAGCGCAGGAACCCGTAGAGCGGTGGGGTCAAACCAGCTGGGCCTCACTGCGGGGCTTAAAATGAGACAATTGAGGCCATGCTCGGGCCTTCCCTACGAAGGGGCCGCTGATCTCTGTACACAAGCAGTTAACCAAGTCCTGGCACCGGGAGGTCATGGCAAACAGCACATGAAAAGGCCCAAGGTGGGGATTGAGGGGAACAGGGGCTCTTTGACCAGTGACTGTATTTGACTTAAAAACGTCGCCCAAATGCTTTGAATATTTGAATATCTGTACATAGCAGCAAACCCACTGACCAGGGAAAGGGAGCTGGGTGGGGGTGGTGAGAAGGTATGGCCTGATGGTCATGACCTGGCAGGAGACACCCTCACCCAGTGCCTGGACTCCCTTGGATGATCCTGCTAGGGGCAGCAGGACTCCAAGGATGTGATATGAAGAGCTTCCCAGGTTCTTCAGGGTGGCAACTGAAGGAGAAGCAGCACCAAAGCCCTTTCCCACAGCCTGATCCAAGGCCTGTCCTTAGGGTTGGTGCTGCCCAGTTCAGGAAGACCTCTAGCCCTATTTCTACAGAGGATCAGGCTGTTTTGGGTACATTTCCCTGCAGGCCTCTGGGAGGCTATAAGCCAGGAACAGGCAGGCCCTTCCTGGAATTCTGGCAAGGGTTGTGGCCCACCCCCCTCAGTATGAACTCCCAGGGCCCGCCTGATGACAGCCCCCAGGGGCATTGTCTGCTGGCTCCCACGGTGCCCTCTGGGCACCGAGCCCTTCCCTTTAAGGTTCAGGCAGGAACTGAACTGCACCCTGAACCATGGGCCTTCAAGACAGGGTTTAAGTTGCCCAGGCTGGCCTGGAACTTGCAAGCCTCCTGCGAATCACTGCTGCCATAGTGCCCAGCAAAAAGTAAATACAGGAACAGGGTTTGTGGCTCAGTGGTAGAGCACTTGCCTAGCATGTGTGAGACATTGGAGTCTCAGCACTGCATATAAATAAAGGTCCACTGGCAACTAAAAAAAGTCTTAAAAAATACATACATATATATATAATTTGTACTGTGAATTTAACTCAGGGGTCCTTTACAAACACTGAACCACATCCCCATCCCTTTTTACCATGACAGGGTCTTGCTAAGTTGCTTAGGTCCTCCCTGAATTGCTATGGTTGGCCTCAAACTTGAAATTCTTCTGCCTCAGCCTCCAGAGGCCTTGGTATTACAGAGATGCACCACACCCAGCAAGAGATGTTTTAAAAAAACAATTTAGAACTGGAGGTACAGTTCAGTGGTGGAGTGGTTACCTAACATGCACAAAGAGCTGAGTTTGATCCCTAGCAAATTGAAGATGGGTGCAGTACTATTACCTGTGATACCAGCAACTCAGTAGGCTGAAGTTACATACCAGTTTCTCATCAGCTTGAACAAATTGTAGGTTCTGGGTTCAATCCCTAACACCACACACAAAAAGCTCTCCCAATCCCACGAACTCCTGTGGGCCTTGCCACCACCCCCCCCCCCCCCCCCCCCCCCCCCCCCCCCCCGTTTTCCCTCCAGGACAGGGTTTCCAGCTCTTCTCATCTCACATTTTTTCTTCTCRAAACAAAACGGGTGCCAAGGCACATGCCTATAATCCCAGCAGCTGGGAAGGCTGAGGCAGGAGGATCGCAAGTTTAAAGCCAGCCTCAGAAACTGGCAAGATGCTAAGCAACTGAGCCTGTCTCAAAATAGACAAAATTGGGCCGGGAATGTGGCTCTGTGCTTGAGTGCCACCCTCACCTCACCCCAATTCAATCCCTGATTAAAATGTACTTTCACACTGCAGTATCCCCAGTTCCAAGTCTAAGATGTATCAGTGCATGATGCACTACTGTGCCTGGAGAGGGAGGGCAACATATCTCCTGAGGCCTGTCACCGGTGGGCAAAAGCTCAAGGCCCAGGGGCTGGGAGTGTAGGTACTAATGAGGCAGGGTTCCTACCACATAGCAGGGAAAACAGACCCCAGGGATTTCAGCAGCTGCCCAAGTTGTACAGGAGAGCAGTGGCCTATGAAACCCAGGGGCCATTTGACCTGTCACCCAGCACCTTACAGCAGAGCACCAGACACCACCCCAACACTGTATTTCAATTTGCTTCTCTAGTATTCACATTTCTGAAGACAATTTCCTAGGTGTTACCTGAAAGTAGCAAGACTGTCCCTCACTGGGCCTGACAGTCCTCTGACCCAAGGTGGATTGACTCCTTCAGCCCTCACTCCCTAGACACTGCCAAGCCCGACCTGCCCCATGCTCTTGACACTGTGCTCACAGGCCACTCAAGATACATAAAAAGGCTTTATTTGCAGAGGAACAGGAATTTAATCAAATAGCCCAAATCCCATGTCATCATCAGACTCCTCAGACTCTTCTTTCTTCTCATCCTTCTTCTCCTCTGCTGTGGAAAAGGAGACCATGGTGAGCATGCCTGCATGACCAGATTGCCAGAGAGACCCCATCAAGTCCGAGCCTTAGCCCCCTGCCCACTCTCCAGGCCTCCCTTACCTGCAGCAGGGGCAGATCCAGCAGCAGGAGCTGCAGAGCCAGGGGCAGCAGAAACAGCCACAGCTCCTCCAGCAGGCACACTGGCAAGTTTGCCAATGCCTACAAAAAGCAGAGAGATGAGATCAGAGCAGGTTCCCAGGCAGGAAGGTGATTCTGCAGGGGTGAAGTGACCTGGGGAAGCTCATTTCACCCACATACTCTAGCCTGCCCAACACAACAGGGTTCCATCACAGTGCCAGTGCCACAGGCTTCCCTTTTCTCCAGGACTTGATGTTGCAGCCCTGCCCAAGAATTCAGTGACACTCTGCTTTCACTACCGTGACCCACAAAGGGAGGTTTTCTACCCAAGAACTTTATCTTATAATTAGACCTTGGACATAAGCTGGACAAACATGTTTACAACTGTTCAGGGAGTCTACTATCCAAGTGTCCAGATCTCAGCCCCAGCAGTAAACTTATAATCCAGACTGCTGAGCTGGCTTTGCTTGTCACATATACAGGGACAGAACGGCTAAAACCACTCAACTTCCAAATAAGCTATATCAGCTCCAGTCTAATGTCACCAGAAAACCATCTGCTCAGTGAAGGGGGACAGAACCCTGTGGCCCTCAGTTCCTGCTCCCAACCCCTTAGAGAAGCAGGAACTGTGTGCAAGAGCTCCACAGTTTGAGGAATCCTGGAGAAAAGGGTTCAAAGGTGGAGAAGCCAGGCAGGCCCCTGGCAAGGGCTGACAGATTCAGTGTGAGCAGAGGGCAACCCCTACCACCCACTCATCAGTGTCCAGAAGCATCCCCGGCATGAGCCCATGAAGGCCTTGCTCACCCACTCAGGTCAGGCTTCTACAGTGTTCTAGTCCACAAGCGAAACCTGGCAGGCCATAGGTTGACCAGCAGGAATTAGGATGGACATGAAAATGAAAGTCCCTTCATATAAACTCACCCTGGGCTATGACATCTTCAATGTTTTTCCCATGCAGCTCATTGATGACCTAAACAAGACAACCACAGCCAGCAGTCAGTTATTTTATTTTTTTTTAAAGAGAGAGTGAAAGAGGAGAGAAAGAGAGAATTTTTTTTAATATTTATTTTTTTTTAGTTCTCGGCGGACACAACATCTTTGTTGGTATGTGGTGCTGAGGATCGAACCCGGGCCGCACGCACGCCAGGCAAGTGCGCTACCACTTGAGCGACATCCCCAGCCCCAACAGTCAGTTATCATAGTCAAGCTGCTGCATCCTGGCCCAAGAGCAGGGATGGCAGGCACAACACAAGAAAACCTGCAGCTTCTAGACCCACAGTGACCAGCATGGTAGCCATCAGAACTGAAATACTGTGAGCTGAAGCCAAGTGCCAGAATTCTAAAGCTTTCACTGGAAAAATAACACAGAATGCCTCCTTGCTTAAACTAAGTACTTAGATTACGTTTAAATAAGCAGGGTCAGGCTGGGATGCAGCTCAGTGGCAAAGCGTCTGCCTTGCATTCACAAAGCCCTTGGTTCGACACCCCAGTTCCAAAAGACAAAAGGAACTCCACAAAAAAAAAAAAGGATAAAAAAAACCCTTTAAATAAGCAGGGTTAAGTAAGATCTCATTAAGTTCGATTTTTTTATAAGTCTGATGGTATAGACCTGTAATCCCAGCAACTCAGGAGATCCTATCTCAAACAACAACAAAAACCCCAAAACAAACAAAAAAGGATTGGGAAGTGTAGCTCACTGAGGGTTCAACACCCAGCATAGAAAAAAAAAAAATTTTTAATTGTTTTTTAGACTGGGGATATAGCCCCACGATGGAGCGCCTGCCTAATAGGCAAGAAGCCCTGGGTTAGATCCACTGCGCCTGCGGGGGTGGGGGCTAGGGCTGAGTGGCAGAGTGCTTGCCTAACATGCGTGAGGCACAGGGTTCCATCCTCAGCACCACATAAACTACCAAAACAAAAGGTTTTCCGCCCATCTACAATTACAAAAAGAAAACAAAAGTTAATTTTAGGGGCTGGGGATGTGGCTCCAGCGGTAGCGCGCTCGCCTGGCATGCGTGCGGCCCAGGTTCGATCCTCAGCACCACATACAAACAAAGATGTTGTGTCCGCCAATAACAAATAAATAAATATTAAAAAAAGCAAAAGTTAATTTCATTTTAGTTGTAGATAGACACAAAACCTTTATTTATTTATGAGGAACGAACCCAGGGTCTCACGCGTGCAAGGCAAGCACTCTACCATTGAGCCACAACCTCAGCAAAGATACTTTTTAACCCCATATAACCATCCCAACTGGCACAGGCCGCCCTCCCTTTCTCCAGCGGGTCATCTCGCTTGAGCCAGGTGGGGAATTTGGGCGGCGAGGGCCGTACCTTGTTGAGCCGATCGTCGTCCGCCTCGATGCCCACGCTGTCCAGGATCTTCTTGATGTCCTTGGCGCTGGGGGAGGCGTTGCCCCCGAGGGCGGCCAGCAGGTAAGAGGCAACGTAGCGCATGCTGCTGAGGGCAGACAGGGCGCGGCGGTGGCGTTACCCCGGCGGCCTCCGGCCTCCAGGCCCCACCGCGCCGCCCGAGGAGGCCGTGCGCGGCCCGGTCCCGAGGCTCCCGCCCGACGGGGCCGCGCGGCCCGCGCCCTCCGCCCGCCCCACAGCCCCGGCCCCAGACCGCGGTCCGGGCCCAGCGGGCCCACTCACTCGGCGGCGGCGGACTGGCCTCACGCGTGCGACCTCGGCGGCGGCAGGGAGCGAAAGGAAGGCGCCGGCGCAAGGGGCGGGGGTAAACTGATACCCAGAAGCCTCCGGGCCGCGGGGCGCTTCTGATGACGTAACGGGCGCTCGGCCAATGACCACAGGCCGGAGACAGCCTCATCCGCGCTCGGGCAGTCGCCGCGGCTAGGTCAAGAGCGCTTCCGGGGCCGGCTCCTCCTTGGGCATGAGCGCGTCTCCCTGGAACCCGAGCGGCGGCGTGCGGGGCGGCGTGTCCGTCGGCGCCCAGCGCTCCCGTCACAACCCGCGGCGCCTGCGGCCCCCGTCGTGCAGCGCGGCCGCCTCGCTCGGCCGCTCCCTTAGCCGGCGAACTACCGTCCCGTGGTGCACCGCGGCGGAAGTGCGGTGCGCCACGGGCCAGGCCCGGCACGTGGTCCCGGCCCGGCTGCGGGCGCGGGCGGCTCCGTGCCCTGGCGGAGGCCCGGGGCGTAAGAGGTCGGCTGGCCGCCTCGCGCCTAGTGACCCGCGCCCTATCTGGAGGCAGCCYCTGCCCCGCCGTGCCCTGTGAGTCAGACGGCCGGCTGGGAGAGCGCGAGCCCGCGAGGCGGGGACAGTCCTGAGGCCCCGTCACCCACGTCCTCTGGGAGCGTGGTCCCAGAGAATGACCGGTCCCCTTGTGGGCCGAGAACTGACTACAGTGTCCACGTGGTCGTCAGCACATGCTGCTCACTCGCCCCTTTGGAATTCTGCTACACTGGGGTCTTGAGCGGGAACAGGCTGGGCCTGTGTGAGGACAGAAGAGGCCATCCCGGCGAGAGGGTCATAAGGAGTCTGGACAGCCTGGGAAAGCTTTCCTGAGGCTGAGACTTTGCTGAAAGATGGGAAAGGCTGACCCAGCTCCCTGGAGCGGGGACCCCGCAGAGGGATCAGAAGCCAAGGCTGGAAGGTGGCAGGGGATAGTGACAGCGCCAGCCTTGGGAGTGCTCCCCTATACCACCGGTTATCGGTGACGAGCTCTGCTTCTCCACATGTTGAAGTTTGAATATTAGAGAAGCACACTGAGGCAAGCATATAGGGTAGGGTCTATTTAAAAAGGGTTAACAGACTTCTCCCTGGAGGGAGAAGGGGGCCATAGCTGGTATCCCAAGAAGCGAGGTCTTCTGTCCTTTTTATATGTCCTAGGCTTCCTCTGTTCAGCTCTCATCCCCTTATCTGTCTCCTTCCTGTGTCTTGTGACTAGGCCCAGGAATGCTGGTGGGATGGCCAAAAGGTGGGACTCTGGTAGACTGAAGGGGGAAGGGCAGGAATGGATGGAGAGTCCAGGACACTTAACAAAACCTTAGAGCTCCTTATAGTAGGGAGGGGCAATTCCTGGGACTGGTTACCTTAGCAACAGGTTAAAGCAAAGGCTCTGAAGGAATTAACATTTCAATCCCTCCTGGGACAGTCTCCTTCTGGCTGGACTCACTCAAAATTGGCCTCCTTGATCTGACCTAACTTGATTTACCTGTCTATATTGACTGCCTGCCTAATTATGGCTTCCCAACTACAGCGCAAGCCCTCCTGTGTATAGTGCCTTACTGGCTGGTGTGTGAGCCCCATATTTAAGTCCCCCAGTACTTACCTACATTTCAGAGGAGGAAGGATGGACGCAGAAGGGTTTTCTTGCTCAAGGTCCCATAACTGAGCTAAAATAGGGAGACCATTTTGGCAATGAGGAGCCTTGGCAATTCCAAAGGGAAGCCATTTGTATGGGGAGGTGGTAGGATGTGATTTTTAAACCTAAGCAAACACTGAACCACTGAGTATTCCCAGCCCACCCCTTTAACATTTTATTTTTATTTCTAGTACTGGGGACTAAGCCCAGGGTACTTTACCACTGAGGCACATCCCCAGCCCTTTTTATTTTTTTGAGACAGGGTTTTGTTAAGTTACCAAAGGTCTCACTAAATTACTCAGGCTGGCTTCCAACTTGGGATCCTCCTGCTTCAGCCGTCCAAGTCATTGTGATTACAGCCATGGGCCGTGGGCCACCTCATCTAGCCATTTTAACCATTTTTTCTTTGGTACCAGAGATTGAACTGAGGGGCACTCCACCACTAAGCCACATCCCTAGCCCTATTTTGTAGTTTAATATTTAGAGACCAGGGTCTCACTGAGTTGCTTAGTGCCTCACTTTTTGCTGAGGCTGGCTTTGAACTCGAAATTCTCCTGTCTCAGCCTCCCAAGCCTCTGGGATTACAGGCCTGCACCATTGCGCCCAGCTCCATTTTAACCATTTTTTAAGTGTACAATTTAGTGTCATTAAATGCATTCACATTGTTACATAATCATCACTATAATCCATCTCTGAACATTTTTCATCATCCCAAACTGAAGCTATACCTACTGCACTCTTCCGCCCCTCATACCCACCATTCTGCTGTTTCTATGATTTTGACTAGGCATTTCATAAAAGGGGAAACATGCAGGATTTGTTCCTTTTGCTTTTTCTATTATTCTACATTTTCCAAGGTTTATCTGTTCTATAGCATGTATCAGAAGTTGATTTCTTAAGGCTGAACAATATTCCTGTGATTGAGTTTTAAAAACATCCCTCTGGGGACTGGGGTTGTGGCTCAGTGGTAGAGCGCTTGCCTAGCACGTTTGAGGCCCTGGGTTCAATCCTCAGCACCACCTATAAAGAAAGAAAGAAAGAAAGATATTGTGTCAACTACAGCTAAAAAATATTTTAAAAATAAAAATTAAATCATCCCTCTGACAGCTTTGGGAGAAACAATGCGAGGCAGGGGCTGGGAATATTGGAAGCAGGGAGTCCTGTAGGAGCCTGCCCATCCCCATTGGTGGGATGGTGGTGGCTCAGGGGGTGCAGCGAAGATGGTGCATGTAACATGGTTAATTGGTAGTAGAAGYTTTGTTCATTTCCAGACCAGCGTGCTGGGTGAAAGAAGCACAGACCCATCCTCAATGGGGGGGCTCATGGTTGTGGGGAGGTACTGAGACTCACCTGCTTGGACAAAATCTCATCTCTAGGAGCCTGCTTTTCCTCCCTTGTGATATTCACAGGAGGATTTAGGGAGGCAGCATCAGGCAACCCTGCGCCTGGGACACCTGGCCCAGAATGATGCCCATAAATTTAGGAGGGTCATCTGAGCAGAGGCCGAGTTAGATCTCTGTAGGACCTGAGAGGAGGTCCTGGAAGGCTTCCTGGAGAAAGGCCTTGGGGCTGACTGGAGACGGGCACGCCAGGTTTCCAGTGTCTAGCAAGGGATGAGTGTGGAGCGCAGCTGCGATCGGCCCCCAAAAGTTCCCCCGAGAAACGCTGCCGTGACATGCACCGGGGTCCCGGGCGACACTGCCTGGCAGCCGGCCGTCCCCGGGGCGCAGGGGAGGTCGACGGCCGGCGGCGTAGGCCGGGAAGGCGGGGCTGGAGGGGGCGGGCCCGGCGTCCCTCCCGCCCGGAAGCGCGCGGGCGGGAATCCCGGCGCGGAACGGCTGGCACTCGGGACGCGCTCAGCCTGGAGCCCAGGTATAGGCGCCCGAGGCGGCGGGAAGTTTTCTGCGGAGAGGGCAGGGCTGCGGAACCCTAAATGCTCCCTGCACCGCCTCCTCCAGCGGACGGAGGGGTGAACTGGAATGGCGGTGGGAGAGCCTCCTCCCGTGGCTGCTAAGTGGAGTCTGTCCCCAGGCTCACTGGCTCCCTCCCTCAGTGCTCCAGCGTTCTGGGATCTTGGGCCCCCCAGAGCTGATGGGTGTGAAGGTTGAAGGTGGGCTCTCGGGTTGGCACAGCTTGTCATCCCAGCGACTCGGGAGGCTGAGGAAAAAGGATTGCAAGTTGAAGACCATCCTGAGCAACTTAAAAAAATAAGTAAATAGAAAGGGGTTAGGATGTAGCTCAGTAGTAGAGCATCCCTGGGGTCAATCCATAGTATCACAAGTAAATGAATTAAGGAACATGGGCTCTTATCACCAGAGCAGGGGGACAGCCTGGGTTACTTGTCAGGCCTAGGTGGTCACCTGGCCAGATTTCAGAATTAGAGAGTGATACCTCACTCCTCTTCCTCCCTCAGTGTGCTCCCCTGTGCCGGGAGGGTCACTCTGTCCAGCTCAAGGGCTCCCCATCTCTAGCCAGGATCCCTGTTCCCCTGATGGAGAGGAGGGGCCCAGCCCCCACTCCTGCCTATTCCTCCCTCTGCTTCTAGCAGCCTCCTTGGGCCCTGTCTGAGCAGGTCTGCCTGGCAAGTTGGGACATGTCTGGCCCCCAAGGACCATCCCTGAGTGATGGCTGCAGCGGCGGAGGGGCTGGAGTCCAGAGAAGCTGCAGCTGCCTCAAAAGATGCTCCAAGACCTGCTGTGGAGTCTGTAGATGCAGGACCTGGGGCATCCCCCTTCCTGGCTGGGAATCGGCTGAATTTGGACCTGTACCCCAAGGGCTGCCACCAGCTGCTGCACCTGTGTGCCCAGCACCACCAGCAGCTGCTGCAGGTAGAGTTCTTACGGCTGAGCACCCACGAGGACCCTCAACTGCTGGAAGCCACCCTGGCCCAGGTGCCGGGGAACCTGCCACACCTCCGCTCCTTGGTCCTCAAAGGTAAGCCCCCTTGTTCTTGATCCTGTCCCATCTCTAGCTCTGCCCTGCTTCTTGGTCCTCAGAGGCAACCCTGGTCCCAGCTGCAGTTACAGGCTTCTCATCCTTCTGTCCTCAGCCCCTTTACCTTCCTCCCAGTGTAAAGTGGGCTGGGCCTTTGTCCCCAGCTCCGGGCCTAGAGTTGCCCATGGTGCCTCTCCAAAGACCCCAGAAGTCCCTGGGTAGGTTGGGCCATCCTGTCAGTTGACGTTGCTGATGGTTTCATCTTTTCTTCCCATCTTCCTTTCAGTGTCTCTGGGTTTAGCAGGCAGGTCTGTGCCTTTCATCAAGTGGCTTTCTCTGCCTAGCAGGGCTGACTGGGTGGTTCTAAGGGCTACATCTGCTTCTACCACTTCCAGGAGGGCAAAATCGGGGTGCCCTGGGTGCCTGCCTCCAGGGTACCCTGACCACGTTGCCCACTGGCCTGAGTACCTTGGCCCACCTGGTCCACCTAGACCTGAGCTTCAACAAACTGGAGACACTGCCAGCCTGTGTCCCTCAGCTGCGCAGCCTGGACTCGCTCCTTCTCTCTCATAACCGCCTGTCAGAGCTCCCTGAGACCCTGGGTGCTCTCCATGTTCTCACCTTCCTCACTGTGACACACAACTGCCTGCAAAAGCTGCCCCCGGCACTGGGGGCCCTGTCTGCCCTGCAGCAACTTGATCTCTCAGAGAACCTTCTGGACACATTACCTCCTGAGATTGGAGGCCTGAGCAACCTCACTGAACTCAACTTGGCCTCCAACCGGCTGCAGAGCCTCCCTGTCTCCCTTGGTGAGTAGCAGCGGCATCCATGACTTGGCTCACTAGTCCAAGAAGTAGCACCCCTACCCATTTCTTCCCTGCAGGCTTGGGCTGTGGCTCCTCTCCTCTTCCACAGGAGACCCTGCACCCACAGGCTTGCCTGCCTTTTAGCTTTCACTCCTCCCAGGCTGAGCTGGGCAGCCTTGTCTACCAAGAGGTGGACCTGTAACAGCTTCCCTGGGGCTGTGGCGTGAGTGTCCTATTGTGGAGCCCCAGGGCCAGAGGTGGCCCTGAGTGGTCCTCTGCCCAACCTGAGTCAGCACCTGCTGCAGTGGGGCTGCGGTCCCTGCGGCTCCTTGTTTTGCACAGCAACTTCCTGACCTCAGTGCCTGCTGGTCTGGCCCATCTCCCACTGCTCACTCGGCTTGACCTGAGGGACAACCAGCTCCGGCACCTGCCTCCTGAGCTACTAGATGCACCCTTTGTGCGCTTACAGGGGAACCCCCTGGGTGAGGCCTCACCAGACTCTCTGAGTCCTCCAGGTAGGCTTGGTGTAGGGATAAGCCAGGCAGAGAGGACACAGGCACATGGCTGTCCTGATGACTCATCTGTCCTTTGTGCAGGCACACCCCAAGTTCTTGAAATGCCGAAACTGTTCCTGACCTCAGATTTGGACAGGTATGAAGTGGGAAAGGAGGGCTAAAGGAGATCTGTCCGCCCTGTCACCCAGGCTATTCTGGACACTTTGCCTGTGTGTCAGGAGTCCTAGGGAGCCAGGCTCTGACACAGATCTTTTGTCTGACCCCACACCCCTTTCCTCACTCAGCTTCCCTGTGACCCCCCAAGGCTGCTCTGTAACTCTGGCTTGTGGCGTCCGCCTGCGGTTCCCAGCGGGGGCCACCACTACCCCCATCACTGTCCACTATCGACTGTGGCTGCCGGAACCAGCACTCGTCTCCTTGGGCCCTCATGACTCCCTGCTCAGCGGTGTCCTGGAGCTGTGGCCCCATGGGGTGGCTTTTCAGCAGGCATGGCCAAGGTAGGGGGGCGGGCAGGTTTGGAGGCCACAGGCCTGGCCCCAGCCCTCACACCACCATTGCCTGGCAGGATGTGAGCCTGTGGCTGCTCTTTGTCCCCCCTCGGGCCCGTCGTTGCCATGAGGTAGTGGTCAGAACCCGCAGGGACAATAGCTGGAGTGACCTGGAGACCCACCTAGAGGAAGAGGCACCCAAGGTGAGGCCTTTGGGTGAGGGGAGGCAGGGAGTGGCATCTCTGCCTTGACTCTCTACCCTGATCTGTCCCCCTTGTGTGTCCCAGCGGCTCTGGGCTCGCTGCCAGGTGCCCCACTTCTCATGGTTCCTTGTGGTTTTGCGCCCTGTATCCAATGCCTGCCTGGTACCTCCAGAGGGGACACTGCTGTGCTCTTCAGGTCATCCTGGGGTCAAGGTCACCTTCCCTCCTGGGGCCACCGAGGAGCCTCGTCATGTCTCCATGCAGGTATAGCCAGCGTAGCACCAAGGGTATCAGGTGACAGCATGGCGCCCAGGCAGGTGCTCAGGTGGCTCTCTGCACAGGTGGTGCACATGGCTAGCCGAGAGTTGCGCGCCCTTCTAGGGGAGCCAGAGGCTGCGGTGAGCCCCCTGCTATGCCTCTCACAGAGTGGTCCCCCCAGCTTCCTCCAACCAGTTACAGTGCAGCTACCCCTGCCCCCTGGTGTCACAGGTGAGAGGTCACTGTGCCATTGGGTAGAGGAGACAATGCTTGGAAGGGCCAGCCAGAGACCTCAGCCTGCTGCCCTTTCCTGTCTAGGCTTCAGCCTGGACCACTCCCGCCTGCACCTGCTGTACTGGGCCCCTCCTGCAGCCACCTGGGATGATATCACGGCTCAGGTGGTGCTGGAGCTCACTCATCTGTATGCACGCTTCCAGGTCACGCATTTCTCCTGGTCAGTGCTCCCCAGGTCCCCCTCCCTGTCCTCCCCCAGTCTGGTCTGCACAGTGCATCTCACCACTGACCCTCCCAGGTACTGGCTCTGGTATACCACCAAGACCTGTGTGGGGGGCCTGGCGCGGAAGGCCTGGGAGCGGCTACGGCTGCACCAAGTCAACCTCATTGCCCTGCAAAGGCGCCGAGACCCCGAGCAGGTCCTGCTGCAGTGCCTGCCCCGAAACAAGGTGGGGATGGCAGGAGGGCAGGAGGGAGACCAAACTCTGGGGGGGAGCATTGAGCTTGGGGTCTAAGCTACGGGGGTGTCCCTGCAGGTGGATGCCACCCTGCGCCGGCTGCTGGAGCGCTATCGAGGGCCTGAGCCCTCTGACACTGTGGAGATGTTTGAGGGCGAGAAGTTCTTTGCTGCCTTTGAGCGAGGCATTGACGTGGATGCTGGTAAGTCTCCCTCCCCAGGAGGGCCTGGGGTCTGCCCTCCTGCCTGCCCTGCTGAGCCTCTCGTGCCCCCAGACCGCCCAGACTGTGTGGAGGGCAGGGTCTGCTTTGTGTTCTACTCTCACCTGAAGAATGTGAAGGAAGTTTACATCACCACAGCTCTGGACCGGGAAGCTCAGGCGGTGCGAGGCCAGGTGGGCCAACAGGGTAGGAGTCCCAGGTCACCTGGGCAGAGGCCAGAGGTCTGAAACTCATCTGATCTCTCCTCAGGTATCCTTTTATCGGGGCTCAGTGCCTGTGGAGGTACCCCAAGAGGCTGAGGCTGCCCGGCAGAGGAAGGGTGCAGATGCCCTCTGGATGGCCACTCTGCCTATCAAGCTGCCGGTGCGGCTGGGGAGCAGTGGGTATGGGGAGGGACAGAGTCCTGGGAGTAACCAGGGATGTGAGGGTGGGGTCAGGGCTTACTGTTCTGCTCCTCCTGACAGAGACTTCAGGGGCTCAAGGGTCACGGGAAGGGGGCCAGGCTTTCCCTGGCACCCCTGAACCTGGGCGACGCTGAGACTGGCTTTCTGACTCAGAGCAACCTGCTGAGTGTGGCTGGGCGCCTGGGTCCCGACTGGCCAGCCGTGGCCCTGCACTTGGGCATGCCCTACCGAGAGCTGCAGCGCATCCGGCATGAGTTCCGGTGAGCCTCCCACTGAAGCCCATGCAGCCTCAGGCCAGGCCCTGACTACCAAGTTGGTCCTGCTTATTTCTGGCAGAAGTTTCAAGGAGGCCGGGACAAGCTCCAGGCTGGAAAGGGAGGGTTTGGCCACAACTGGCCCACAGAGCAAGGAACCCTTTATGAGGGTCTGTGACCCCCTTGATCACTAACCCCCTTCTCCAAGGGACGACCTGGACGGGCAAATCCGCCACATGCTCTTCTCCTGGGCAGAGCGCCAGGCTGGGCAGCCAGGGGCTGTGGAGCTCTTGCTGCAGGCCCTGGAGCAGAGTGACCGGCAGGATGTGGCTGAAGAAGTACGGGCCATCTTGGAGCTCGGCCGCCACAAGTACCAGGACAGCATCCGCCGGACGGGCCTGGCTGCGGAGGACTCTGCTCTGCCAGGCACATCAGCCTCACAGTCCACAGAGCCTGCCCAGGCCTAAGCCCAGCAGGCTCTGGACATTGGCCTGGCCCCTGGCAGAGCTCGACCTTCAAGTCTCTCCCCTGTCTGGGGGCGATGTAAACCTGTACTGTTCCATCTACCATCTCAGAGCTTGGCTCGTCCATCAGGTGGAGAGGCAGTTGGAGGGAAGGCAGGGCCAGGCTATCTGAGGCCCAGCCTCTACTGGGAGGGGGTTCTGTATGCCCAGTCTTCCCATGGCCTTTGCTCCTGCCCCTCCCTCAGACCACGCCTGTTGCCTGTGGTCCTGATCTTCCCAGAAGTGGAGAGGAGCTGACTCTACAAAGTAACGATTCTATCAGAGATGGATACAAAGTCACCTGTGTGGTTTTGTGATTGTGCATCCACCAAGCCCACCAGCCTTGGCAGGCTAATTCCCAGCTGAGCTGGGAACCCCCTCCTCCCCCAGGATGCCCTCAACCACCATGCTCCCCGCCACCTAGTCAGACATGGGTCCTTGTTCTTAAAGGGCCCTGGGGACGCGCAGAATCCCAGCTTTGCCGCCCTACTTGCAGGGAGGGGTGGTCTTGGGCTAGGACTGTGGCCTGGCTGGGCGCAGTGGCCATGGCGGCCGGGAGGGGGAGCCGAAGCCCGAGAGCCAGCCCAGGCCTGGGGGCGGAGCACGCGCGGCGCAGAGCGGACGCGCCTCCCTGCCTAGGTGCAGGCCGGGTGCGCGGCACAGCGGGGAGGCGAGCGCGGCGGAGTGCGGGTGAGTGCCCGGAGGGTGGGTCTCGTGGTCGCCCACCTGAGCGCAACTGGGCTGCGAGGACAGAGGGTGTCAGAGTGGCTGGGTGAGGTGACAGCTGCCCGGACAAGGCGGCCCCGGTAGGGCCCAGCCCGGCGGATGCTCGGATCCACCATCGCCAGGGTGTGGGAGGCCGTGCTCGGCCCCGCGGTTCCGGGCGCGCTCCCTGTGCACACGTGTCCACGTGTCCCCGCGGGGTGAAAGCCTAAGCTGGAGCTCGGGAAGGAGGAGCCAGGCTGTGGGGGGCGCACACATGGGACCTCACGGATCTTGCGTGCACATGTAAATGGCCAGAATCCGGGTCATCAAGGCCAGCTGAACCCCAGCTACGGAGTAGGGTCTGAGCTTGCCTGGATCACAGCATGCAGCCTTCCACCCGGTCCTCCTTTGTCCCGGGTTGGTGTTCTTCACAATTGGAGACCCTTTCAGGGCCCTTCCAGCCAGCAGAACAGAAAGACCCTCCCAAGAGGAAGGCTGGAGGAGGTTGAACCGGTTCCCACTCTTGAACCTTGGCCCCATAGCCTTTCTCAGGGGTAGGGGAAGCTGGGCAGCTTCATTAGGGAGATTTCACCCCTGTGGGTCAGGGAAAAAGCAGTATGGCCCTGCAGGGCCTGGGGGTGGCTTTTGTATGCCCCCTTGCTATCAGGCTGCCTGCAGCCCCGGGTACCTGACTGGAAAGTTGGGGTGGCCAGACTTGGCTCTGGTGCCTGCGGCCTGGCTGGGCTGCCAGGTTTCTGTGGCAACCGGGAAGGTGCTGGGGGTGGGACCTTGACTGACAGCTGTCTCAGGCAGGGTGGAACCAAGGAGTGAAGACAGAAAGGGGGGGGGGTTCAGTCCAGAGCCCCCTCCCAGTGCCAGTTTTTCCCAGGCAGAGCCCCTCACTGTCAGCTCAGTGGCTCCTCCCTGATGATCTGGCCTGCACTGCATGGTGTGGGGCACAGGGCTGACTCAGCCCTTGGGATGTGGGGGCCTGTGTCACTCTTCCCCTCCCCACTCCAGTTGGGCTGTGGTGTGCCTCCTGAGGTAGGATCTGGGGAGGAAAGGGGTTGCTCAGGGAGGCTGGGTGGGCTCACTCCATCCTGGAGGAAGGGCAGGGGCTCCTAGGGAGAGCTGAGGCTAGCAACGGGGTGAGCTGGCTGTGGCCAGACTATACCTGGAGGGGGTGGGGAGGGGTACAGAGGAGTCAGGCTGAAGTTCAGAGGTCAAGAACTGGGCTGAGAGAGGTAGTTCTCCACGGAGGCTCTGGGTGTGCCCGTGGTGACCAGAGCAGTGCTGGGAGTGTCAGCTTCCATGCCCTCTGGACCTGCCAGGTAAGCAGGGCCTGTGGAGGGCATCCAGTGACCTCTGAGACCCAGGCACCCTTCCCTGCCCTTGCCAGTGGACGGGCATGCCTTCCTGAATCCCACTGTCAGGTCCACTGACATTCACCTGCCTCAACAGACACACCACAGCTGAGCGTGTGCTGACACCTCTCCACAGGGTACACCTGCAGGTGCATGAAGGGTGCCGGGGCACAGAGCACCCCAGCCCCTGGGGTTCCAGAACCCTAGACAGATCCTGGTTCATCTCACAGGCTACAGTCAGGAACCCGCCCAGCCAGCCTGTGTCAGACCCCCTTGTCACCCAGTCCAAGGCCAGCCCTGCTCCTGAAGCAGTCTCACCCCTTCTCTTCCCTTCTCCTGAAGCTGCAGGGATCCCCAGCTTGCCCAAAGTGAAAGAGAAAGTCCCCCCCAGCCAGGCCCCGCCCCAGCCTGTGGCCAATCCCTAGGGCCCTTCCCTCCTCCCTTGGCTGGCAGCTCCTTATCTCCTCCCAGAGGCAGCTGGCTGGAGCCGTGGAGGAGCTCTCTGTGCACCTCAGGGGTAAGCAGGACCCAGCAGGTGGTGGGAGTGGTGGAGGGAGCCAAGGAGGCTGTGGACAGCCCAGCAAGGTGAAGGTCATGAGTCCTTGCAGGGCCCGAGGATATGAGCCAGCAGTATGACCCTGGGCAGCTGTGCTGGGGTATAAGCCAGCTGACCTCTGAGGAGAACTGGGGGAAACACAGAAAGTTGGAGCGGACAGACTCCAGGATTCCCTCCACAGTTCAGACTTTATGGCCATGTCCCCCATGGTGCCCCTGAAGCTGACGCTTGTCTCCCGAGTCCTGCTGCTAGTGGGAGAGGCCCTTTTCTCCACAGCCCTAGAGGAGATGGGGTCCTAAAGTCCCCTGGGGGCTAGCCATTTCCCAGGCAGCTCCCTCATGCCTTTTGTTCCCGAGGCTCTCTGAGGTGCTGGTCAGCGAGTTCCTGTGTCTGGGAGTGAAACTCAGAGGTTGGAGAGGAGGGTGGGGAATGGGCTGGGTGTGGGTGGGCACTGTGCTTCCCTGGGGAGGAGACTGCAGTCCTGAGTGGGACTGTCATGGGGTTTGGGGGCTGTCCCTGGGATGGCCAAGTCCATCTGGGCAGCCATGAACTTCACCTAGGTGGGGGGTCCTGGGGTGAAGACCCCAGCCCCATCCTGAAGAGGGTAGGGGACAGCTGCCTCTGTTCAAAGCTGGGGAAATGGTCACCACAGTCCAGTCCAGGCTCAAGGTGCCACTGCTTCTCAGAGGTGCCTGGCCCTTTAAAAGCTGGAGCTTGCCCCTTGTGCACGTGAGCATGAGTGTGTGCATTTGTGAGCTTGTGCCAGCCGGAGACGCTGTGAGGAGGGCACTGAGGGGGAACCAGGTGGCCCCGGGGATGGGCCAGGTGGCAGCCACTTCCCCTCCTTCTGTTGTGCATCCTCAGGACATGTTAGGACTCCATTCTGGGGTGGGGGAGTGGGGAGCTTGACGCAGAGCCTGAGATGGAGGGTGGGGGAAGCTGTTTTCCACGATGGCCCCCTCTCCTGATTCCTGTCCCCTCTTTTTTCCAAGGCAGAAGTGGTGACCATTGCCTTGAAGCCCCCTGAACTGGAGGATCACCCCTGCACTTGGTCCTACCCTCCATCGCAGCTGCCGCCCCCCTTCTCCTGTCACCACCTCCATCTCCTGGTGTCCACCTCTCCTGCTCCTGCCCGGGTGTGCTTGAGTTAAATGGCTGATAAACAGATCAGGTCAGACTTGACCCCACCCTGGGCTTCAGCCCTAGCCACACACCCCCACCACAGGTGGAGGGAGTGTGTGCTGACCCTGGCCCTGCCTACACAGCCTGCCAGCAAAGCTCATCAATGGCGGCATCGCTGGGCTGATTGGGGTCACCTGTGTGTTTCCCATCGACCTGGCCAAGACCAGGCTGCAGAACCAGCAGAATGGCCAGCGCATGTACACGAGCATGTGAGTATGCCCCACCGGCAGTGTGTGGAGGCACGCAGGGAAGCTGTGCCTTGAGCCCTTTGCCATTTGATGGGGAAACAGGGCAGGACAGCCTGGAGAGACCCCTTCCAGGCCAGGAGTCAGTGTGGAGGCTTTTGACTGGCCTCTCTGTCAGCCCTGGACACTCCAGGCTGGGCAGGCAAGGAGCTGGCCAGCATCTGCACTGGAGAACAGGGGTCGCCAGCTGGCCCCCAGCTCACCCCTAACCCCTTTGGCTGCAGGTCTGACTGCCTTATCAAGACCATCCGCTCTGAGGGCTACTTCGGCATGTACCGGGGTGAGGCTTGGGCTGGGCTGGGCCTGGGTGGCACCTCCCATGATCTGGGCAGAGAGCATGGGCTGAGCAGTGTGGCTGAACCTGGGTGTGTGTGGTGGGGGTTGTCTGGGGTGCTGCTGCTCCTGTGTGGAGGTCATTAGCCAAGCCCTGGGTGAGCGGGGGTTGGATGACCAAGAGCTGGATCTCTGGTAAATAGCAGTTCTCAGCCCCTCTACTAGCACACTGCAGATGATCTGCCTCTCATGGCAGCTGCACCTGGAGACTGGGGGCATTATGCAAAGCCGCTCAGGAAGCAATCCCAGCAGAGCTGGATTTGCCCAGATGCTGTGCAGCCCTGAGCCCTGCACTGAGATGGGCTGCCCATCCCCTAGCTTTGACCAATCCAGGCCACACACACCTGTGGACTGCCAGGGGGCCTGGATTCTCCGGTCTGATCCCCTGCACCTGCAGCCGAGTAAGGCCAGTTCTTGCCGGAGTCAGACACATGGAGTTGGAAGGGGAGGGAAGGGGGCTAGGAGGAGGCTGCAGCACAGCCCAACCTGCTTGGTTCCTGCCTGCCTGGCACACACCAGCCTTAATGTGGGTGAGAGGGCAGAAGGCGGTGCCAGTAGTGCCTGGGGTGGGGCTTGGCTGACCAGGAGGCAAGTGCTGGCCCAGGGCCTCCCCAGCCCAGGCTGCTGAGCCTGTCCACCCCCACCAGGGCTTCCTATGTCTCCCCGCCAGCCCCATCTGACCCCCAAATGTCCCCCAGGAGCCGCCGTGAACCTGACACTGGTCACCCCTGAGAAGGCCATCAAGCTGGCTGCCAATGACTTCTTTCGACACCAGCTCTCCAAGGATGGGTGAGAGGCTCGGCCTTCCTGCTGGCTCTTGGGTGGCCAAGATCTGGGGCTTGGGGGCTGTGAAGAAAGTCAGCCCGCCAGCCGGCCCCTTTCTGACTTCTGTGACCTTGCAGGGTAGACTGACTA